GAAAAGGCAAGACTTGCTGAGGAGCAGAGACTCGCAGAGGAGCAAGCTAGGCTCGCGGAGGAAGAGGCAAGACTCGCAGAGGAGCAGAGACTTGCAGACGAGAAGCTTGCAGCAGAGAAGTTTGCAGCAGAGAAGCTTGCAGAGGGAAAAGTTAAGGAGAGTACTGAGGTTGCAGATAATGCATTGGATGGCAAAGAACGTCGGTCGCCGTTTCCCGAATTGGAAAGCCCCATACTAGGCGCTTCGCATGTTGAACTTCAACAATCCGTGGGCGTCTCAAGTGGTTGGCCACTTCCTGACACGGAGGCTGGTTCTCATACCTCTGTGTCCCTGGAAGGTGCAGGCGCAACCCAGCCCCCTGTTTCGCCATTATCTATTGAGCCTATAATGATCAAAAGAGTCACGCCGCAATTGGTCGATCAACAATCTCTTTCGTCGCCCAATGACCGGAGCACCGAGCCTCCAACACCACCAATCCAGGATTCTCCTCGCTTCGAAGATAGCAAGAGTACTGGTCTTGTTGCCAGCTTGCGAAGCTCTCTCCTCGGAAAACCCCCTTTGCCTCCGAAAACCGCACCGTTGCCATCTACCCCTGTGAGGAACGCCCCGACTCACTTTTCGTCACCTTCCCCTCGGGCTTCGCCCTTGAGAACCAGTTTTAAGGAGAACCTGGGCTCAACATCGCCCGCACCGTACCAAAAGCCCGCATCCTACTTTGCTGCTGTTGGGATCAAAGGTGCTCCTTCTAGAGACAAAGCCCTACCTTCACCCCCGGTTCCTCCCAAGGGTTCTCGAGCCTCCGGCGATCGATTCTCCTCGCCACGATCATCAGCTTCGCTTGTCCCTTTGGCTGACGAATCATGGGAAGCAATTTCCACTTTCTTCAGGCCCTTACCTAAATCAAGTGATCGCGTGAATGCCGATGCTCAGGTGCTGTTGGGGAAAGGCGGCGACGAAACGAAAATCAGAACCCTCAAACGCCAGATATGGGAGATCACAGGTGATGGAAAGAAGCAAGATCTTCCCGTCAATCAAGAGTATATTCTGTACGAGGGAAGCATGTACTTGTGCGTGCATATGTTTGAGGCAGACGGCAACGTGCGTTCTGAGATCCACCTCTGGTGTGGTGATGACGTTCCCGATGCGGCCATCGACGATGCCCAGCCCTTTTCTCGACGAATGGCGAAGGAAAATGGATGCAAGCTCGAAATTATTAAGCAAGGCAAGGAGCCAGCGCGGTTCATTCAGGCTCTAGGTGGCATTCTCATCACGCGTCGTGGTTCTAGCTCACGATCCAGTTCCTCTGCTATTTTCATGCTCTGCGGACGGAAGCACCTAGGACAGATGGTGTTCGATGAAGTGAACTTCTCGCCTAGCAGCCTTTGCTCCGGCTATCCTTTCGTGATCTCCGCTATGTTCGGCAAGTTGTTTCTTTGGAAAGGACTCGGCAGCTCGGCAGAAGAAATTGGTGCTGCGCGCTTGATTGGGATGGATCTCGGCCTCACGGGTGAATTCGAGGAAGTAGGTGAAGGAGAAGAGCCAGAAAGCTTCTTTGAAGTCTTCCCGCAGTACGAAAGGACGGCAGATGAGAAGGGCGCCAATGACTGGCGACTGAAGCCCAAGCTTGACCGGTATCGCACGCGACTGCTTCGTGTGGACCATGAGCTTGGTCAGCAGCGGGCTGGATTCTGGATGCGTCGAGCCGGTTCACCCTCCCCAATTACTCGTCCAAACGATACCGTGCAAGAGGTGGATCCATTTTGTCAGAAGGACATCAATGCCAAAGGAATCTACGTCCTTGACACCTACTTTGAGATTTATGTGTAAGTTGCCTCCGGGATCCGAACGACTCGAGGTCGCACGCTAAACACATGTTGACAGGATTGTGGGTGAACAAGCCTCAGCCCGCGCAGCTGAATTCGCTTCAGCGGTCTATTTTGCGCATGAATACAGCATCCTAGCGGCCTCTTTCCAAGATCGACCATTCATCCCGAAAACCTTCGTCTCCCTCGGCGGAGTTCCCGAGAGCTGTAGCAGTGTATTCCGCAAGTGGAACACGAGCTCGTGGCAAAGTATTCCGCAAGTGCTCCCTCTGAACGCGGCAATCGAGGCGCTTCGCAACCCCTAAATTCTGACCACCTTTACTTTCCTTCCGATATTCTCAAGAGCATCATACCCTGATTTGTCTTCGGTATCTCTCTTTCTTCTGTTTCTCTTCCTTTCTTTTCGTTTTGTCTGTCGTTGATTATAGCGTCTTTGCATTTAGATCGTGCATATACTGGTCCGCACCGGAATGGTTCCTGGCAACAAGGTTTGAGGGGGAAGTGATGGAGGTGTGAACATAGAAAGTCTGGACAGTGGAGTGAAAAGGCGACCTTTTTTACGGCAAGTGTGTATGTGTCAGTGTACAGTATTAGGTTTAGGTTCAAGTTTTCAAACCAGCTTGGCATTATCAGAAGACTGCGTACTTATTGGTTACTGAGAGAGGATCATGAGGCTTGCTTGGATGCATCTATGGTAATACTATTCAACTAAGGGAGCGTGTAATCAAACATATTCAATTCCAGGGAATGCGGAAGAACGGCAATCAAGTGTCAGAAGACTATTACAGTGAGCTAGTTGACTTAGTTACCTTCAAAGATAAAGATAAGAAAAGTTGTGATGGGCAATCGACCCACCGCGGCTCGTCATCGGCCGTTAATTTCCACCCCGCGCGCTCATTTAATTTTCGCCCCTCAGTGTCGCGCTGATTTCACCTCTATCTTTCTCCGCTCACTCACTCACACACTCATTCTTCACTCTCTTCATTGTTGTGAGAGACTTGAGCGTCTCTCTGTATAGGTCAGTATGCCTTGATTGAGCCTCAATCGGACAGAATAACCACCGTCAACACCATCACCACCACCATGGACCCCGCTATCCTTCACAAACTTTCGCAGCTCGATCCCGCCGTGCCCTTTCGCGCCACCACCGATCATTTGCATCACACCTGGGCCAGGACATTCTATTCCCGACCGGAGCTCTACGTCCGTCCGCAATCTTTGGCTGAGATCCAGAAACTCGTCACCCTCGCCCGTCACTGTCGCCGTCGTCTTGTCACCGTTGGTAGTGGCCACTCCCCTTCGGATCTGACTTGCACCTCCTCCTGGCTGGTCAACCTCGATGATTTCAGTCGCGTGTTGGAGGTGTCGCCTGAGACCGGCGTGGTCACCGTGCAGGCTGGAATACGCTTGAGGGACCTAGGAAAGCAGTTAGAGAAGCATGGCCTCACCTTGTCGAATCTGGGTAGCATCGATAGTCAGTCGATTGCGGGAGTCATTTCGACGGGCACACATGGGAGCTCCTTACAGCATGGTCTGATCTCGGAATGCATTGTGTCCCTGACACTCATGCTGGCTAATGGGCAAGTGGTGCGATGCAGTCCAACGAATAATCCCGACCTCTTCCGCGCCGCCCTTATCTCCCTCGGTGCCCTGGGCATCATTGTCGAGGTCACGTTACAAGCTGAGCCCACCTTCAAGGTCGCATGGCGACAGTCCCGCCGGAAGCTTTCGAGCGTTCTGGATGAATGGTCGACTGGACTGTGGACCACGCATGAGTTCGTACGGGTCTGGTGGATGCCGTATGAGAAGAGCGCGGTCGTTTGGCATGCAGACAAGACCGATCTTCCGGTGCGCCCTCCACCGAAGACGTTTTATGGGGAAACCGTGGGTTACCACATTTATCACAACCTGCTGGCCCTGGCAAATTACTTCCCTCGTATCCTGCCATGGGTCGAGTGGTTTGTCTTCGGCCTGCAGTATGGATTCAAGGAAGAAACCAAGGTCACGGAAGCCGTGGAGCCGGCCCGCGACGGTCTGCTCATGAATTGTCTCTACTCGCAGTTCGTTAACGAGTGGGCTCTTCCCTTGGAGAAGGGACCGGAGGCTATCACCCGGCTTTCTGCTTGGCTAAACGGCGATGCTGAAACGGCACGTATTCCATTCTCTGTCGACGGACTCTGGGTGCATTGTCCGATCGAAGTCAGAGTTGCCGACTCTACACTCAATAAGAACCCCCGCCCATTCCTTGATCCTAGTCGCTCTGACGGTCCGACCTTGTATCTTAATGCGACTCTCTACCGTCCTTATCATCGGGATCCCCCCTGCACGGCTCGCTACTACGAGGCTTTTGAATGGCTCATGCGTGAGATGGGAGCCAGACCGCACTGGGCCAAGAACTTCGTCGCAACGCGCGATGAATTAAGGCAGCTGTACGGTGGCGGCATGGACGAATGGATGAAGGTGCGCCAAGATGTTGACCCGGATGGAATGTTTCTGGGCGAGTGGCACCATCGCAATCTGAACTTGTCCGTTGGTGAGTCAACTGCTACGGAAGAAAGCCTCCCTCTTCTCGAACGGGAGAAGGCTCGTCGGAAGGCAGGTGTCCGCGGGGCGGGCGACGGCTTGGAGTGGATTGGTGACAAGAGTTGGCAAACGAAGCACGCAGGTGTATCCTTGTCCTTGCTCGAAAAGGAAAAGTCCTTTGCTTCGGTCGAAAGCACGGGTCTGAGTCCTCCCACAACCGCAGCCAGTGATGAGAGCTTCGACCTTCTTGCAACCGGTGAGGCTAGCATTGTTCTTCCTGATCGCCACTCGTGATCATCAATAGAGTAAAGACAATGAGATGGTGAGGAGTAAACACCTGAGCGCGGTAGTATGCGAAGTAGTAGGTAGTCATGGGTGGTGGGACAAAATGAGTAAGCCAATGGATCTTGTTGGCCGGTGATTATTTTTGACAATCCATGTACTTTTCAATGTATATTCTTTCCATTGATTTCTTCCACCTCCCAGATATTTGATGTGTTACAGAGAACGCACGGTCACTTTTCAGGCCTGGTTTTGACTGATCGAGTACAAATGCCATGCATCTTCACCTCGTCGACTCTTCCTCTGATTAGCTGCTCCTTGTTTGCTACATCCCGAGTATGAGCTGGCATGCGGTGAATGACAATGGACTTTGAGGGTGCGTTCCATCTCTCGTTCACTTGCTCATTGGGCTCAACTGAAGGAGTTTTCGGGGTAATGGGACTCCGTCGCGAGTATCCGGGTCTCATCGGAGCGGCTGATCCTCCTCGTCGACTATCGGCATTGTTTACTCCCTAGTAGGATGACCCTGGATTACTTGAAAGGTCATCGGCTCCTTCACTTCTGTGGTATAACGCCGGGTCGCGTAGGAGTGTTCGAGCCAACATAGTCCACGCTCGGTGCGCGAGGGTCGTTCCGGCAATGACGATTTGAGGGCGGGTGCGTTTTTAGGCTGTGTATAATACGCCCAAATTATGGTATAAGGTTGCTTTCAAGGCGGGAGACCTCCTCTACCTTGGGAATAATTGTCGGCATCCAAGACGTCAGCACTAACTACTACTCCTCCCCGCCAACCGCTAACTAATGGCATTTGCTTGCTTCTGCTGGGAATCTTACTCGATCTGGAGAGGCGCAAGGTCATCAATTCCGGCTCTTTCATTTTCTGCGAAAAAAAGGCTTGGCCCGTCTTTTCCAGGAGCGCAAAGAAATGTGATCATGCTAGGTTATGCCATGCAATGCAGGTGATACCAGGATAGGGCTTCTGGCAACTAGTGACTAGAATGGATGAATGGAGCGAGATGTACAGTACAGTACAGTACAGTATAGGCCGCTGTTTCCATTGTCCTGAAGATCATCATGAGACCTGGTCGGTATGGTGCCCGTTCGGGTTCCCTTTGGGGAGGTGAAAAGAGAATTGAGCGTATTGATGCTCGGACTCTCCGAGCTCAGTATCAGCTTTATTGTTGGCAGGCAGTGGAGCTGGAGCCCCCGCGGCCGCGGGCACCTCACTTGGGCACTGCTGGCACTGGCACCGCACCTGGGGGTCGGTGGGGGGCACTGCCTGGGGGCGGGCACTGCACTGGGCTGGCAACTGGCAGGGCACTGGCATAGTCACGTTCCTTCCTAATTGGGCTTTCTCTCTTCCGAATGGATCCATTCTTTTCAATCGCATTTTCTTATCATCTTCATCAGGTTCTTCATCTTCATCTTCTTGTTCCTCTTCTTTCGCTACTTTTTCTCATGCTCTAATTTGTTTGATGCTCTTCTTCTCTCCATTCGCCCAATCCTGGCTTTATCCCCGCCCGAAATCATCTGCCTCACCAGAATCCAAGAAGGGCCAGAAATATACCCATGATGAGATTGGCGATTACCACCAGAGAAAGCCGAGGCAGCTCAGTTCATCCCCGTCGCTTGACTGCGCCACGAAATTGTGACAGAAGATTATCTCAGTTGCAGCTCAGCATTGTTCAGCGGCCACAGGAAGCGGGGCTGGGATAAAGTATAGTAAAAGGCTTCACTAGACGGACAAAATCGCCGCTTCTTGCAAGTGAGTCACTGAGCGAGTATCTGCAGGGTGGACGGGCCTTTGCTGCACCCAACTCATGCGGTTCGCTCGCACCCACGCAAGATCCTCGAGCCCCTCCCTTCCCCCTCTCACCAAGTGTGGCAAAGAGAGGAAATGATCAGTAGCCCGCGACGCAGGTCTCCTTGCCCTATATCACAGAATCACCTCCCGAAAGTTCCTATAATTGATGGTGGTTGGTGGCGGAGGGCGGTTATGGTTGAATCCCAGGTTCGAGGAAGCCCAATGTGATGCTCCTGTCTAATCAATCAACCTTGCTGACCATCACAGACGGACGGCAATGCAAGATACAGGTTGAAGGATCGGCAAGGCAAATGCGAGAATGGAACAGACATTCTATTGTAATTCTCTGTGGTCTATTTCACTTGTTCTCTCTTTCTCTTCGCGTTGTCTTGCCTATTGTTTTCCTTCCCGTTTCTTTTCTTTTTTTATCCTTCTTCTTTATTTCTCTTTTCTTTTTCTTTTTGGGTTTTGGCGTCCACCGGAGCAGGTGCACGGAATCCTACGCACAACACTAAGCGCGGTTAACACCTTCTGCGAAACTCGGATTATGCGGTATTTCCTGTAAGACCAGCGAGCCGTGCTCCCCAAACGATGATGATGCAGGCGTACTTGGCCGATGCTCCCTCGATCAATCTTTGCAGCCTCGATGACGAACAATGCTATTGCTACGGTTGGCTCATGCCGGTGCTATTGATCAGCATCACAACATTACATCAGGTGATCACCTGAAGACATGCACTGCGAGCTCTACTCTTCTTCGTGATTGCTACTGTCTGGCTCTCGCACAACAGCAGTGGCCCTGCCAGGCCTCCGCATTGAGATACGCATAGATACCGAAGGAGTTGACTTTAGAAGTGATACCCCTGCTTTTGTTTAGACAAGCTGCACCACTGCACTTTAAGCTCAAGACGGTTAGCTCTCTTAGAACACATGAGCAGCTTGCAGCATATGCTAGGAAGCGTGCAACGGTACCGACTTTCCCGCGACGCAATCTGAAGGGGTCTAGTGAGGTCCCGCTACGTATCATCACCACTATAGCTCGTCAAGCTGAGCATTCTAGGAAGGCTGGTTGTTTTGACAGGCGCGGGAAAGAGAACAATTCCAGCCGAAAATTACGGAAACTCGAAAAAGCAATTGTCGGCCCATACTATTGGGTCGATGCTGCTGGTCACCTTGGCGTAACGCTGAGCCCAGTGCGAGGCACGCGCTCATCAACGACTCGAGAGTAGTCAGAGTGTGTGATGGCGCTGGTCATCCGTGTACCAATGGCAACTATGGAAGTGTTCGAGAGTCGCTCATGAGGCATAAGCTGATGATGCTGAAGGCTCCAGCCCGTTTGAAACCATTTATCCTACAGCGGCATTGTCTGGCCGTGAGCCGACTCACCGGTAACCGGTTTTAGAGCCTATGTTATGATCGGGCCAAAAAGAAATTTTGAAGAATAGGGAGATGATGTATGACAGCCACGGAAACCGGAGCAAGATGCACGTTTGCGGGTTCAAGCCAGCGGACGACTTTCCTCCGGCACCGGAAGGTCTTCAAGGCTCCCACGAGAATTACGGGAGAGAGAAAGGGAGAGAGTCAGGTTGAGCCTTGAGGGCTTACCTTACTCTGGTTTTGGCTGCCCAAATGACCAGGGTCTTACCCGGTTAGTGCCGACAAGCGGTGCGGTGGCAGCGATGCGTATCCATCCCGTGGTAGCTCTGACGGCTCGGACCGTCGCCAGGCGTGAATACTGGCTACTGGCTACTGGCTACTGGCGTGTCTCGCGCCAGCGAATTTTTATCTGGTCACCTGTATCAACTAGCCAAATGGGCAGAAACCCCCCCAATCCCCCCGTGGTTGCGGGGGACTCCCTGGTGTACGTACCTGCTAGGCTACCACAGCCACACACAACGGCCTGAAGGACGTCAAGCGACCGGTCCGGTTGATATCGTGACAAGCTGCTTCACCACGTCACCATCATCACTGTCCTAGCGATATACGTCCGATTCGGGCGGGGTCGTCATGTCGACATGCGTGCGCGGGGCTGCGTTGGGGTAAGACATGATATCAATAATATTTGATAGATATGTCTCTCAGCCTCTTTGTCCCTTGTCAGGTCCTCGCACCCCCACCTGCTTGTTCCTCTCGAGCGGCAGTCTGACATCCACTACCCCTCCCGGGGCCTCCTCCTCCTTCCTCCTCCTCCGACTGAAAACGCCTTGCTCTCGATTAGTCAGACTTCAGACCAAAGTTCTCATATCAGACCCTTCCTGCCACCTTGATCCTTGGCGGGCGTTCAATTGCATCTCACTCCCCCGTACATGTTTCAACTTTTCCTGGCTTGTTCGATGCAAAGATGTCTCGTCAACCTAGCTTGCGACCCAAGTCTTACATTCCTGGTTATCCAGATGCCATGTATAATCTTGCTGCGGTGACCACCTTGAAACAGCTTGAGTCCCGCGTGGGGTTGGCAGACGAGAAGCATGACCAGCGTGTTTTTCGAGTCAAGCGCAAGCATGTCTTGAAGGCATGCGATCGTTGCAGAGTCAAGAAGACCAAGGTTTGTGAAGCATTGGTTGTTCCTAGGACCCTGTGTGCATCTTTCTCTACCATAGCACGAGCTTGCGGTCTGCGGTGATACTCATGGGATATTAGTGTGATGGGAAACAGCCATGCAACCGTTGTTCTGCGTACAACCATCCATGTCTCTTTCGGGAGAGGAAGGCTACGCAAACCAAAGTATACTCACGAGGGTCAGTTTCGATCCTTTTCTGCACTAATATGATATCTATCAAGGATCCCAGGACTGACTGGTGGATTGGCACATGTCTAGATTCGTTGAAATGCTCGAGTCGCATCACTCTCTGGTGGTCAAAGCACTTCAGCGGCTTTATAAGCTTTGCGTCAACAAGGAGGACTTCCCTGGGGAGCCACTGCAGGACGCACCCGACGGTTATCCTCTGACGCACGCTATCCTAGACCGGTTAGGTCTAATCAAGCAAGCCGAGGAAAATGCGGACGAGCCGGAGGAAGAATCCGAAGACCTCCAGTACTTACGATTTCTTTCAACCTCGACTGATAGTAGCGCCACAACAGATCCATCACCCGAACCTGCCACCCCTCCTGAGCCTTCACCAAGTGAATGTAGTCCCGTGCTCGCTTCGCCCAAATGCAGCGACCCGTGGAGATGGGACATGCAGCCAGTTCAGAATATCCACTCAGGGGCGTATCAGAGCTATCAACCACACACAGGTTATCAGACTATGGCATTCCCTCGCCCACATTTGGAACCTATGGCCCTTGCATGCGAACTGAAGTGCACGGATACTGGGCCATCGATGACTGCTCATGAGCAGCCATGTTACTACTATGTTGGTACCGACTCTGGCGCAGAATCCAGCAAGAGCTCCGGGCTGCCGGTCGGCCTAATGCAGCAACAACCTGTAATTAGATCCGGCATGTCCGTGAGCCTGATGAGTGATTATGCCTTGCACGTCCCTGAACAGCACGCTATCTATCCACCTCCTACGACCAGCTGGTCATATCGTTGTGATTAGCATAGCGGATAATCATAGAACCTGGGCACTCTGTCAAATCCCTGTCCCTCGTACTAGTGTACACCTTTCATCTCGTGATGTAACTGCACAGAGACAGGGTGAAAGCCACTCTGCCCATCATCTATCTCTCATTGACTGTGTCGCTTTGCCTATCTTGAAGATTTCATTTGCAGCATGGTGTTTACGATCACGTTCATATACCCCAAGTCAGTTGTTATTTCTACGACGTGGGATGGCTATATACTCTGACTACAACAGGAATCTCCTTTTTCTTCTTAGAGACTAACAATCAAGCTTTCCGGGGCCTTCTACTACACTCCATGTTCCAGTTGCGAAACAGAACCTCGGGTCGAGTTCACTCCTCGCCTACACTACCCAATGCTTTTTACTTCCCGCACCGCACACCTGATGTGCCTGATCGAGTCAGACGAGGACTAAAGACCCAACATAAGATGCCATCACCAGGAGGTCCAAGCAGGCTCAACCTGGCTACAAGGGCTATAGACAGTGCGGGGACCCCTTGATATCTCGATCAAATCTTGATTCTCCAGATTTCCTCTTTGGAAAGATCTACCCTTACTGGAAACCTGAAACTGTGAGCTTTACTAGTTGTAGCTACCAGCAACCTACCAAAGAACGGAAAGAAACAGGTACAGGGGTTAGTGCGCAATGGCAGAGATAAAGTACGCACCCCAAAAAAGACAAAAGAAAGCAAAGGAAAGAAGAAGACGACTGTGTGCATGAACATTGAATCCGTATTAGCTATTTTCAAGGACTCATAAGTACAATCAGCCGGTCAGTAGTCACGTCAGCCTGGAAAGCCGAACAGGCACAGACTCTGCCCACGCTAAATAGCAAAGAAATAGCCGTTGATCCGGCGATGACCGCCATGGAGTCTCATCAAGTATGACCTCCTTGTCCAGCCCATATCCCCTTGGAATCAAAACGACCCAAGCCCTCTGAATGCCACTCGAAAACAAGACACATAGATGCCAATGATGATGAACGAAAACCTAGGTATATTCTTTACTCAAAAACATTGAAAATGGTTTAAAAAAAAAAAAAAAAAAAAAAAAAAACTGAAAAAGAGGTAAGAAGATCCATTCCCGAAGCAAGATCAAACTAAGACAAGGGATGGTGAGCAAAGGGAAAGAAAATAAAGGAAAAGAAAAGGAGAGCTAAAGGTATCATAGGACTTTCTTTTTTTTTTCTTTTCTTCCTTTCCACGTATAGGTTGGGTTTATATGTTTAACTTTGTTTCCCTTAGGACGGACGGGTGGGAAAACATAACCTCCCTCCGATTATGACGTTCCCTTTAATGCAAATATGCCCTTCAATCATCATCATCGATATCCGTCTCCGTGTTCGTGTCACTAGTATCGCCTGCATCACCATCGGTATCACTCTCCTCGTCCTCGCTAGACTCCGCCGAAGGCTTCTTGGCCTTCTTCTTGGGGGCTTGGCCGGTCTTTAGGGCTTGCATTTGGCCGGCTATCGAGTCTATGATTTTAGAAATGGTTAGGTTCTCACGGTCTTTGATCATTTGTGTAAGAAGGCGTTTGTTAGGGAACTCACCCTCATCAGGCTCACTGATATCATCTTCCTCGTCCAACGCCGCAGCCTTGGCGGGATCGTCGATGTGCAGGGTGATTTCCATCTTCGTGTCGAGGCCCAAATAACTGTCGCAGAGCATGTGCATCACAAAAGTGAAGTCACCGACCTGGGGTGGAGCCTGGAACTGCATCTTGAGGGTCTGCACGTTGAATGTGGGCTTGCCGGTGACGGGGTCGAAGAGTGGCTTGTCAAATGTGGTGAAGGTGAAGGGGGGCACAGCCATCTTGCCCTGTTTGGCGTCGGCCAGGAAGATATGCCAGCGCGGGGAGTGGTCGCGGGCGAGGTAGGGGGCGTGCGCGAGCGGAGGTTGAACGGGTTCGGACTTAGCTTCTTCCACCCTCTGGCCGTTCACCACCTTTGTCTTCTTGCCGTTGCGGCCCATGATAGCGTCGAGGTCATCCTCGTCGGGATCGATGTCTTCGAGGTCGGCGGAAGTAGGGGCGGGGGCGTTGGCGGAACCGGGGGGGATGAAGCGCGCTTTGACGACGAGTTGCACCAGACTGCTCGGCGTGATGACCTTCTCGCCCATCACCTTGAAAAAGGCCCGGGAAACCTCGAGAACGGGGAGTTGTTTGGCAACGTTGATGGCGGTCGTGTATTGCTTCTCATTCAGGAGGCCGGCGCCTACGGTGAGGCTGTAGCGCTCGGCTTCCGGGATGGACATGAACTTTTGCACGGTGAAGTGTTCCTTGTTGTCGGCACCTTCGATAGTCTGCACGAGTTTCGCCGTGAAGTGCGGCAACTGGAGGAGTGGAGAGGAGCCAGGTGCGACGGCTTGGATGATGTGCTGTGCGGTGCGGAAGGATCCGAGGATTGGTCGGAGATTACCAAAGGCTAGGGCGATGGCCGTGAAAGCTTCGTTCAGTGAAAGGGCGATAGGGGCGGCTTCGTATTTTTCTGAGTTGGGATCAGTATGTTGTAAATCCCATGTAGCTGATTGAGGGAGAGTTCTGACTTACCTCCGTTGAGCGTGGCGTCTCCCAGATCAACGCGACCGAGATAGGCCCAGAGTAACGCCAGCGCCTTCCGTCTGCTCGAATCATCGAGTCCCTTGATGACCGCGCGGTCCTCAGGAGTCAGATACGAGGAATCTTCCGCCAGGACCTTCTTCTCAAGCTTCGCCAATCCAGCATCGGACCGGGGTCCTTGCAACATCTCCTTAAACTCATCGCCGGAGGACAGCGCATTGATTATTCCGCCATCGGTGATGTCGTCTCTGTATTCCCGGAAGATGTTTCCAGCACTTGCGACGAGAACGCGCTCCTTGGTGTAACGCTGCGAGCCGTACCACCAGCGGCCGACAATGTATGGGAGAAGAACGCCAAGCAGAGCACCATAGACCAGCAGGGTGTACTTGGAGTAGCCTTCCGAGACAATGAACGTGGGAAGAGCAATACCGATGCTCATGCTCTGCTTGCCGTCTGGGTGGCCGTACTGAATGTAGTTGTTGCGAACTTCCTCGTCGGTCAATGCCTTGTAGGCCTTGGTGAGCTCGACGAAGCGCTCGTTGAGCATCTCGATGGTCTCATTCTTGGCGGGATCGGGGCGGATCTTGTCGGGGTGGTAGACGAGTGAAAGGCGCTTGTAGTGCCTGGAGATCGCTTTCTCGTCGGCGCTCTGGTAAGAGACAAATAATGCCGGTTAGAACCGTTCGCAGGGATACTCCGTTCGCGAGGGACTCACCCGTGAGATACCAAGAATGTCATACGGATCCCATATCTTGGGTACTGTCCGTGCTGTGACGACGATCAAATATGCCATCCAAGCCATGACAGCGTAGCCCACCACGACTGTGACAATGCGCTTGATCCGACGTTCCTTGCGCAGACGCCTGCGCTTCTGCGCGTCAATGAGGTCGCCATGTTCGGGCTTGAAGTCTGATTTTATCCGCGGTGCGGTGTTCTCCAGTCCTACACAAAATAGCCAATCATCAGTTTCGGGAGATCCCAAGTTGCACCATAGAGGCGATGTTATGGTCCGGCACTCACCCTTGCTCGGCCGGAGGAGATTGTACGTCAGAGGGAAAGTGACGAGACTCGTCAGGGTGAGGACGAAAAAGGGGAAGAATTGTCCCTGGCAATACCTGTCAGCTTCTCTTCCAGCCCGCAAGCCCGTGGAGATCCTACCTTGTCGTCATAGTTGTAGTCTGTCGACATGGTGCAGTAAATTTACAATGGACACGGTCGCCCGCTGCGGGCAGGACGAGGGACAAAGAGTGCAGCTCCTGGGCTCAAAATATGTGACAGGAAGTTGGATATATGTCCAATAAGGGGAAAAGGTGAGTGGAAAGCAGCACAGATTAAGTCGTTGAGCTGGTGGTCATGATCTCCCTACCAGTCAACGGTGAAGGAGTGTCGTGTGGTGGAAGAGGAAGAAGAAGACCACGACGGAGCATGTCCCGAACGATTAATTATCGTATCGGCGTCGGTCGTGCCTTGTGATCGACCGTGTCCTTTCCAGGGCGGCGGCGGAGCTCACCGCCTACTACTTCCAGCATTCAGGGTCAAGCCTCTTCCCGCTTTTCAGTTAGTTAATTCAAGCCATTTACGGAGTAGCTGAATGACGATGTAGACCAGAATGTGTGCGGGAAGACGTTAATTTTAATGTATCTTGTACTGTACAGAACCTCTGAAGGGTCATCGTGTACATCTAAAAAAAAAAAAAGAAACATTCTATCTACCACGGAGTTGATAATGTTAGATCTCCGGTACTGACATCAACAGGCCATACAACAAGCATTCATGTCTGTCTGAGCTTTCATTTCATCATAAAAAAAACCCCATAACCTTTTTTGACCCCCATTTTTGGATAAAACATCTGTTTTTAGAACGCCAGCTCAAAACACTTTTGTCCAGCTGTCATGTCCTCATTTGTCTATCGAGCACCAGGGGCCCCAGCCCTGAGGAGAAAAGGCGTGAGAATGGGAGATGACCTCGCCAAGGCTGTGTAGACGGAGGTGCAGGAATGAACTCCACGCCAGCACCAAGCCAAGCTTGCGAAGGCAGGGAACTCAAGCATCACAATCCAGAGGAGCTGAACCGAGACACGAACTCAACCCACCCACAAACTCGGCAATGCCCGATAGCTAGAAGACATCGCTGCTCTCGACGTCACCAAGTCTTGCGAGGAAATATCTCTATACCAAAGTTCAGATGGCCAGGCCGTTCAGAAGACCAATCCAGATATAACCCCCCTCTTCGGGGAGTCTGATCCTTCATTGCTGCAAGTCATTGGCCTGGATAGTACCCAGTGAAATCTGGCTTCTCGAAGCCTCTCGGGAGGCTGGTGGGATCGCCGTTGGCTTTCGTCCTGCTGATGTCGTCGAGTTGTAGTGGCTGCAAAGGATGGAACAGCCCGGCTCGAGGATCCAATTTCAATTGAATTTGTTTTCAAGATCCATGCCATGTTGGAGATGCCCGTTGGGATATATTTCTTCATACTTTTTCTTTTTTTACTTTCCACCGTCTGACTGACACTTTTGAATCGTTGTGCTTTCAAAAGGGCCGACGATTTCCGAATATTTATGCGCGTCATCCAGGTAGTGCGTTCAGAGACTGGGGACTAAGAAGGTAGCGAGTTAGCTTCGATAGTCTATTGATGAATTGAAAAAGAGCCAGGGGAAGAAGACAACTCACCAGTCGATGTAATCAAGCCCACCGAAATACTCCAGCATCCGATAGCAAAGGCCCACGTCGTCACCGGGTTCACCACCAAAAAGTCGACACTGCTCCGCCTCTATGTGGGAGGTTTCCAGCCTCATCGTGCGATGTCGAGTCTGCCATATGAAATCCCCATGGTGCCAGGTCGGGGCGGGAATTTCATGGTAGTCGAAAGCCGAAGGTAGGACTGAATTGAGAGGTCGGGAGAAAGCTTCGATGAGGTTGAGGCGATTGTTGTTGTTGGTGATGCTGCTGCTGCTGCTGCTGCGATTTCGAGAGCGCGGACGAGTGCGACGCCTGTTGTGCCTCTGGCCCATTCTCTAACAGTTCGCCAATATTTTTTCCGGCAGTTGGAGGAGGTTGATTATGTTGAAGGTTTTCGATTGTTTTGCAGCTCAAACCGAGGAGGCTTAAATAGACAAACAACCACCCACCACAAAACAATAGAGAACTGTTCTCGGGATATCTTTTGATTTATCAAACGGTAAGGAAAGGAGTGACCATCATCCCCGAGAAGGATGAGATGAGGTGAAGAGGGAGGAGAGGGGGAAGATCAGGAGATCGAAGGTTGCGGAGCTACTGTATATATACTTCTAGTGGTAGTATGACTCCGGCTGGCTTTGCCGAAGGAGTGTTGGGCGGTGGTGTGACTCACTAAACACTTAAGGTTACAGAGGTACTCAGTACCTCTAAAAAAAAAAAAAAAAAAAAAAACCCAAAACCCAAAACCCAAAACCTAACCAGGCAAAGAAAATCTTCACATCCGGCTTCGGGACCCACAATGCCTTCTGCCCCCTAGTCAAACAACTCCACACTGATGCAGACGTTATTGCCAAAATCTAGAATGCTAGGAATGGTGAAATTTGATCTAATGTTCACCCTGGATTGCGTAGTTCTGGTGGCTCCCTTTCCGCGGAGGATCCAAGGGTTGACTCCGCAGAGTTAGGGCTCATTGTTACAAATTTCCCTCTCTTTGAACTCCTGAGTCCTGAGTCACCTCATCAGGACCCCATCTGAGGTCTTAGGCCAAGTCAACTATTCTTTCTGTGCTGCTGAGGTGCTAGACTATTCTATTTTGGTCTTCTTTTTTGAGTTTCAACAAAGACTGAATTTTTCCCACTTCATTCTCGGCCTGACTTCTTGACTTGAATGCCTGACAGACCTGCAAAACTACTAACCAACTACCCAATTGAGGGGGGGGTCTTCCCAGCCATGTCAAAGAGAACCACAACTCATGAAAGGATATCCTGTTTGTAGTAATTACTGTATAAAGGCAACGTTGAAACCAGGCAACCAGGAGACATGGTAGCAAACCAGAAGAAATAAACGCAACAAAAATAAACGCAAAGCGTAAGTAGGCCAATAGAAGGGTGGTCTGACGCCATGCAGGCGGGATCCTCAAGCATTTCGGACCCGGACCAGGGAAGGAAGAGCAAACCATGCAGTGCTTTCTCTCACTCTCTCTTTCTCAGAAGTCTGCCTCTCCATGGAGGCTCTGACAATACCGTACGCCCGTCATCGTACACGCCCCTGTACCCTAACCTCCAGTGGCAATCAAGTGGAAACGATGCCGTAACGGGCCGAGCGGGTGATGAGATTTTATGTGACGCATGGTGCAAGATTGCTCAATTGTCAGGCCCTCAGAACTCACTCAGGTTAGGAATGAGTCGAGTGACAACATCCAACCACGGCAGGTTCGGCATGCATCGAGACTACGGGCGATATCGGGCTCGGGGCTTACTGTCCTGGGTCCGCGTCCGCGCCCTTTGTTCGTACACTATGTATGTACTGTAGGCACTAGGCATCCCTACTTTCCCCGTTTCATAGTACGAGGTGTGGTCTAGGATGTCGATTTGTGGGTTGCCGAAAGGCCGCCGAGAGCCTTAGAGCTCATAAAGTCCTTGGATCCTTTGTTGTTTCGGGATCGACGGCGCTTGGGTTGTCTTTGTGGATACTCGTGAGTTGGAATCTCATCACCTTCGTCGGAGTTGGAGAAGACTCAATCCTCTGTGGCTTTTGAGGTTATTATTGCCCAATGTAGCTTCCGTATTGTGCGATTGGGGGGCCGCGGGCGGGAAAAACTCTATAGTAGGTGGGTTTTGGGTTGAAATGGTCGGTTTGAAGTGTGCTGAATGCTGAATGCAGTTTTGTTTGGATAGTCTGGGATGTGCTCTCGCAGGCAGAATTAGATATGCAGCGTGTACTCCGTACTCATATGTATGTACTGTGCTTATTGAACGTGCTACCTTGGCGCAAGCAAGTACCGTATGCACTGTACATTTACCGGTAGTATCTTGATATTCATATTATGAGAAAAGTGCTAGGTAAGCGAATAAATTCTGAGCAATGTACTCCGTAATTGATTCGATTTTCTCTCTACTTTCTCCCTACGGATATTACTATGGATATGCTTCCTACAACTCAACATCTTTAAGCCATCAAGGCCAGCTCACAACAATTCATGTTACTCACCTCTGTGCGCAACCACTTGACTTTCTTGTCTGTTTACTTCGCAGGCTGAGGCATAATTCACTCAAGCATCCGAAGTTACGCCGTCTGCAGCAAGCATGCAGTCTGCAGACGCCTTCCTGCTCGTCTCAGCGACTCACAACGTGCAAGCACCTTAAAAGATATAGACCATAATAATACACTCCGTAGTCTGCTGCTCCATAACTCACCCCCCACGCCTGTTCCATGCTTTCGGTTCAAAACCCACTCGAGCCATGAAGTCGACACCACGTAGGCAGAACGGGGCATAAACAATACTCACGGAGTGCCTTTGCGAGACAGCAAGCATAGAAAAGGAGGGAAGGGGGAAGAAAAAATCTGTCGTGTCGTGGCCAAATGCCACCATGACACATGTTCAACCGCTCGTAGCCGAGAAGGACCCTGTCCTAGACAGCCCTACAGAAGTTCCTACATGGGCTACGGAAGGAGTGTGTGTATATTTGATGGTGGGAAAATGTGAGTTGTCTCTTTCCACTTTCTGTATTTTATCTTGTCGTTCGGGTTCTAATCAGCATAGTTTAGAATTTATGCAAATGCCTGAAGCTACCGGTAATTTACAGTAAGTACATTTGTTTAAATCCTAGTCATGATCTTGTTTGTAGTATGAGCATGGGGTTAATCATATTGCCTTACTCAAGTTTGCTGCAACTTTGCAACCACATGCCATAAGCAAATAATAGGGAGTTTGCTCTGTCTCATCCTTTCATGACGCCACTTGTGAAGATGCTTTTGTAGTCATCGCATTCTCTTGAATCAGATCACAGAGGGCTTGTAGCTTTTCCAATCCTGAAACCTAAGCCGATAGCCTTTAGACAATGAATTAGGGTCTCTGCCTCGAAAAGGAGGTTATAGATGACATATCCCGACAGATGTGGTATCATCTCGCCAAACCCTACTACTACCTTACGAACAGATGTAACCCGTCATTTCGTCAAACCTTTAGCAATTAACAATGCAAGTAGCCCAAATCGGATCATACCAGTACTGTGTACGGCTGCTAAAATGCGAACCCCCTTTTTACCTTGGGGCGGCTACGTAGTAGCAGCTTGCTAGCCCAGCTGCAGCCTGCAATCCCACCGTTGAGACATGGGGAGTGGGTTTTTTTTTTTTTTTTTTTTTTTTTTTTTTTTTTTTCGTTTCCCGTTGTCGTAGTACAGTGTATCCGGTCTCGCAAGGTAGACATAGTAGATTGGATCGTCGAGCATGTAATTGTGTGTGTTTGTGCCTGGACTTGTTGTGGAGTGGAGACGGAAGCGGGCTCGGAAAGATCGTGAAGGCTCTAGTGCTGTCTGGACTCTGGAGTCCTCTGGTTTTGTGTGCCCGGGGCCCGGAAAAAAGAAGGGGACATGGTTATTCGCGGCGCTGCAGGTTTCGGTCTAGATTGGAATCAATTGACCGGGGGCCATGGACTGACTGGGTCATTCTCCGCCAGGATGGGTTTGCTGTGGGATCAATCAGTAGGATCATTAATTCATTGTTGATGGACTCCATAGAGTGACCGAGCTAACATGCGCATCAGGGGACTTTTTGTGCCGCTGGTGCTTACGCTTGCGCTGAAGACAGTTCGGCCATATTGGGTACAGTACATATCCCATCAACTACGATAAGTACTGTGCAGAGTACGATTTGAAGGTTCGATCTCTGAGATACGCTGGGTGAGATGCCTGCTGTGAAGGTTATAGATTTCGTTTCAATATTTGTATAGCCTGAAAAGTAAGGTTATGATAGTCACAGGAAGAAAGAAGCCCACAGAGTCTTTGAAGCACTACTCACATTTCGCCTCCATCAATGATGATGTATCTGACTGAATTAGTAACGATCCACACACGCTAAACGGTCTAGACAGTCGAAGGGCCTGTGAAACACGGACTGAATTCCGCCAAGCGACCCGGGATACAAAGCTGTCTACTCCGTACTACTCATGTAGTGTGCTGAGGAGAAAGTAGTCAAGATACAACTGACTGATGGCTCCCCCGGCTATTGTCGATCCCGCGACGGATGATCTCCAGCATCTCCTTCCCCTTTGGCGCTGTCGTCAGATTCTCGTATCCCGTCCTCGTCACTAGGATGTCGTCCTCGATCCGCACTCCACCGACTGGGATGTACTTCACCGCTTCGACGAAGTTGATGTGTCGGGCGAGCGGTTGCTTCTGAGCATTGGCCAGCGCCAATTGAGAGAAGTAGACGCCGGGCTCGACCGTCACCACCATACCTTCCTCTAACACTGGAAACGAAAGGCTAGTGGGCGGCACCAGGTCGCGTCTTCCCCGCTGACCCTGGGCCGTGATTGGCCTCTCCGAGACGTCGTGGACTTCCAGTCCGACGTGGTGTCCCAGTCCGTGAGGGAAGAAAATTGCCGACGCCCCTGACTCACGGATCTCCTCTACAGGTCCAGGCTTGAGTACGCCCAGTGCTTGTAACCCTTGAATGGCAATGTTGTGTGCCAGGAGCTGTAAGTCTCGAAATCGTACCCCCGGTTTGATGCGCCTGATACATTCCTCTTGCATCTCCTCTACAATTTGATAAACGTCGCGAGCATACTCACTGGGCCACTCCGCGCCCAGGGGAAACGTCCGAGTGACATCGCTCGCATAGCACTCCCACTCCGCCCCCGCATCTAAACAGACCAGCTGTCGACCTTTCAGAGGCTCATTGTTTTTGATGTAGTGGAGGGTCGCGGCGTTGGGACCCGAGCCAGCAATGATCTCGTACGCTTGGTTCTTCGCGCCGTGAGACACACATGTGGCCAGAAATAGTCCTTCGATCTGTGTTTCGTTGGTCATCTTGTGGATCTTCTCCAGCACCTTCCGATGAGCCAGGCCAGAAATGATGTTTGCCTGGCGAATTAGTTGGATTTCATGGCCGTCTTTGATGACTCGAGCCGCATCCATCGCAGGAAGCAGGTGCTCGTGGTCTATCTGGAGCTT